TAAAGTAATCCCAACCAACCAAGTAAATTAAAAACATATATATATTAAATGAGAAAATCAGTGGTCCTTCTGTTGTATATTTAAGAAATCTCAAGTGGTGTTGGAAATGCTGCTTTTGGTAATAGGTTTCCCCCAGTGCAGCGCTGGCAGTTGAAGGAGCTGCAGATGGAAGTGCCTCGCTGCCCATTATGGCCCTGCTGAGGTCTGGCACTGCCCTGCTCAGCTATCAGTCCTTCCCAAGGGCTGCTCTTCCCTCTTAACTTTCACCCCACAATTTGCACCATGCTTCTGAAGTTTATTCGTTGTGTAGTGGAACTGAAATATGTGCAGTACAGTGAGACAGTTCCTTGGAGTGAGGTTATGGATGTCTCCTCCTGTCGTTCCCTGCGTCCTGTTGGTCCATTACCCTTCCTGGCACTGCTTCATTCTCCTGCTGCTGTGTCACTCATGAATTATCTGATGCTGAGAGGTCCATACCACTGTGACCTTGTCTGGCTTTTCACTGATGATGTGTCAAGAACACCAATAGTTCTCTATAAATAAGGAATTTTGGAAACTCCCCAAAGGAAAAAAGAGCTTGAGCGAGGGTTGGAAGCTCTGACAGCTCCTCCATTGCAGGAGCTGAGCGTTTTTGAAAATCTCTCTTTAAAATGCTTTGAAAAATGGAATTGGGTTGCTGTGTTAATTGTCCTGTTGGTCTCTGAAATGAGGTTCGGAGGAGACCCACTTGCTGTGCAGATGGGGGAGGTGGAGCTCACAGAGTGCTGGGCTTTGCCAGAAGGGGCCAACTTGGATGCAGGCTGAATTCGTGTGCATGAATCATTTATTGTGTTGCTTTTCTTAGTGTTTCTTTTTGTGCTCTTGAAGATATTTCTGTTTTATTCGATGCGCTTCTCCTCCAGGCTCAGCTTCTCATTTGTATCTGATGTTGTTTATATTTGTATTTCTGTACCTTGTGAAATATCTATCCAATTCTGTGTAGCTGATTGTGTTGGTCTCTAATACATCATTGGGAATTCACTGTGGATAAAGTAAGGGAGGTGGCGATGTGAGCAAACAGGACCCTGTTTGAACACCAATGGCTTTAGTAATTGGTGAGCAGAATGAGAGAAACTGGGGTGAGCCATAAGTAGATTAATGTTTCTGAACATTTTCTGATATACAAATGCCCTTCTTTAGATGTGCTGCTGCTTTTATGGCACAAAGGACTTTGCTCCTTGGTGTAACTTTTGCGTGCAGCGGCAGGTTTGCCAGTTGTTTGCACCTTTTACACCATGGCAGAGCTGCTGAGAAATGTTCCTTTTGTTCTGACAACTGATTTACATGAAAGTATTTTTGCAAATTGTTTTGCCTCGTTTTCTAATTGTCAACATTTGATTCTTGAATGTAAAAAAATCAGCTTGAAATGCACTACTTGTGAAATTTCATAATAAAACATAATAGAGAGGGATTATCCAAGGGCTTTAGTAGGATTTGCTCTCATCATTATCTAAGGCTGTTGGGAATATTACTACCCAGTCTTTTACCAGCCCTACAGGAAGAACTGCAGGATATTTGTCCACTTACACACGTTTCAGGAAGGCACCCCAGGACACGTGGTGCTAGATTGGCAGCTCAGGGCAACCAGTGCTGAGCTTGGATTGTGGAATGGTACTCGTTGTACGTCTGTTACTGTCCAGCCATGCTGCAGGGCTGGGGATGCCCTGCTGGTGTTGGCTGTGAGCTAACAGGCTCCAGGTCCCACCCCATCCTGGAGGGGTTCAATGGGAAATCTCCCTCCAGCTGTCCTTGCCAGCACTGGGATGTGACTGAGTCTCATTTTATACCTCTAGTAAAACATTTTTCCTGTTGGGAACAAAGTGAAATGTAAAAATTGTAGATGACTTTTGCCCAGAGAAAATGGCCAGTTAGAAACTTTGAATAGTTTTATTTCAAGGCAATAAAAACAATTACGTGCAGTTCACAGGGTGCTGAAGCTGTTTGCTATGCAGTGTAAATGGTGAACAAAGAAGTTGTACTAACCGATGATCAAATCCTGACATGAGAGATTTCTACATGAATAAAATCCAAGACCTAAACAGATTCAAGACTGTTAGTCATCCATCAGCTCACACCAAAGTGTTCAGCAGAGGAGGGAAAAGTCTTCAGGCATCTTACTTGTGCAAAGTGCTGGCAGGATTTTGCACTTCATGCAGACTGATGCTGCTCTGCCAAATAAGAGACAGTCAAGAGGCTTTATCAAAGTGGGGTATATATATATTTTTCCGTGGTCAGGAACTCATATCAGTGGAACCTGATGGGAAGTTAAAAGTAAGGTTGCAGCCAACTGTGAACTTGATATCACCCTGGTGGGAGCCCATTAATATCTCAACAGGTATACTCATGCATTATCTTAATTTGCACCTGATCCTTAGGAAAATTGCCTTTCTCAAGTTTTCCAGTGACTGTCCTTTGCTGAGGAGGCTCAGGTGGGCCGTTTCATTCATCCTTCAGTAAGTTACTGAGGAGAAGGGAGCTACTGCATGGGCAGATCAGTTTTGATGTGTCCAAAGTGGGAGCATATGGGGAGGAAGATGGATAACTCAGATTTTACCACAGAGCAAAACCCTTCAGAACTCTACAACTTGATATTTTCTCAGTCATGTTTTACTCAGAAACACACAGTTCTAGGCCTAATGTTGGAAAATGTTTCATGCAGACCCTGCTTTTCCAGCAGCCCAACCAAGAGTGCTGCAGGGATCCAGGGAGAACCTCTTCATTAGCAGAAGAAAATGAAATAAATGAAGAATAATGCTCAATGTTAAAAAATAAATTAAAATTAATTAATCACTGACTAATGCAGTGCTCCCAGCATTAATCATTCAGTATTATTGTAATCAGAACATCAGCCAAGGAAGCAATATGAGAAGCTCTGGGGTGTGATGTCACAGTCCTGCTGAAAACATGAAGGTTGCCTTCTTACAATCCTGTCTCTGCCCAGGACCTGCTCTCCCTCTGCTGGCACCTCTGCATCCATCCTGGAGCTCTGGGCATCTTCCTGCCCTTCTGCCTGCTGGTCCCTGCTGTGACCCGTGGGCAGCAGCTGCTGCAGTGGAGGAAGGGAAAATTAAATCCTTTAGATGTGACCAAATATTTGCCTGGATAATTAAAATAAGTGTGTAGTATTTAATGATTTCTTGTTAAATCCACACAAAACGTTACCAAAGTTCTACTTTGACTGTATGATTTCATCTTACTTTCAGACCACCTGTAAGAGGTCTTGGTAGAGAAACCAATATATGCTCTGAATACTGAAGTGATTTAAACAGCCAAAAGTGTTTAATATTTTATGGACAGAGGAAAAAGACTTAAAAAACAAAAGGTCTCCTAAGTAATATAAGTGCTGGAGCAAATTCTGTCAGAGCTTCTCTTTCTGCAGTAGTGCAAAATATGATCCTTTTGATTTCGAGTTGAAAAAGTAACTGTTTACAAGTTGGAATACAAACACTTGCCACAGATTAAAAAATCATATTTCTTCCTTCCTTTTATTTATAATTAATGGTGCTGCACTCAGCTGTCTCAGCCCAACTCTGTGTATGGGGCTGCATATACTGGATGCTCGTGCCATTGGCAGCACCTGTAAAGTTAACTTGCACTTAATAGAACACCATCCAATGGTGTGATGAATTAAGCTGATCAGCAGCTGAGCAAGCTCCATTGGCTGCATTGTACAAAGGAGAAGAGAGCAATCCCAAAACATCGCTGTTGTGGTGAACGCAGACACCAGCAAATTAGGAATGTGAGTTATCGTGGAGGTGCTCAGTGTTCTGTGTGCAACCCTGAGCTAGATGAGAAATCAAGAACCGCAGTAAATCAGCACCATTGATTTATTTGTGTTTTGAGAATGGTCCCCAAGCTTTGCTGGCCCATAGGCAAAGCAGTGAGCAAAGGAATCACGTGCCACTGGTCAGAACCGCGCTCTTCTTGCTGTCAGCCTCAATTTTGACTTCTTTAACGTTCTGTGTCTGGAGTGTCTCAGCAAGTGCCTGCATCGTTCATAATTTCGGGTTGTTTGCATGACTTCTTTGCCTGCTAGGTCTGCAGCAGCAGCTCTGCTTTGGCTGTGGCACACAGCCCGTGTCCCTTTGCACTTCTGTGTTGCTCTGTCTGCCCCTGACCTCTGTGGGCAGGGAAGGCACTGAGCCCACACTGTAATGCTGCCTCTGCTGAGAGGGCAGGAGAACTAATAAATACCCATAGAAACGCTGAGTAGGGAGAATATGCAGGAGATATTTGGGCTGAGGCAAGAAATACTGACCTTGCCACAGCCTAACAATCTAAAATCATTATATATGATCATGTTTGTGTATATAGAGTCTTTTTTTCCCCCTTCTTTGGCATCTCGAGTGAGAATTACGGAAGGCTCCTTAAATTAAGGAGAAGTCCCAGACTGTTACTCAAACGGTTGCATAATGTGTTTGGGGATTAACACACTGTCAGCTTGGTAACAGCTTCACAGCCTTTGTTATCTGGGAGAAAATAGCCCTAGACAACATCCCAGTGTGTTATACAAAGTAACCCACCATCTTCCCACAGGCAGAGGAAGGCTCCTTCTGGCTTCCAGCCAGGACAGGTCTGGGTTTTGGTTCTGCTGAACTCAGCATCCCAAGTGACCCAGTGGTGCTCACAGCAGAACGCCGATGAAAAGGCAGCAGTGAGAAGGGAAGTGGTTGGTGTGCACTGCACTGGGTTGTGTGAAAGGAGGAAATGTGAATGTGAACATGTACGCCTCTGTTCTAATTTGACTGATTTTGTCTGGTTTTACATCTTTCCGCTCGATTTCAATGAAAAGATGGGTGTTTTGATTTGTGCGTTGCAATGGAATGTGGCAGAGAAACGTAGATGGGTGCAAGGAAGATGAACTGAGGCTCAGCAGAAGCTAGATGCTTTGGCTAACTGCTGTGACAAGTGCAATGCATATGTGAATGTGTATATTTATCAGAAATTATTTTTTTCTACAGATCCCACAAATCAGTTATGCCTCAACTGCACCAGAGTTGAGTGATGACAGGCGCTATGATTTCTTCTCACGTGTGGTTCCTCCAGATTCTTTCCAAGCGCAAGCAATGGTGGACATTGTGAAAGCTTTGGGATGGAATTATGTGTCCACTTTGGCATCTGAAGGGAATTATGGAGAAAAAGGAGTCGAGTCCTTCATGCAAATTTCCAGAGAGGCAGGTAGGCAACACCCGTCCTCCCTCCAGAAAATGCTGTAGAAGTCATGGATGTTATTTTGTACCAAATGTTATGTTGTTTTTCTGGAACGTATATTTGATTCTAAAGTTGCTCCAGTTCTTTGCAATGCCTCTGTAACGGCTCCTGGGTGCTCTCTTTCCTAAATTGCTTATAGAGTTTCAGAGAATTTGAAATGTTAGTGTTTTTCAATCTGTTTCTGGAGGAAATAGAAAGCCCAGAGTCTTATCAAGCTTCTGGTATTCTGCTGGACAGCATTATATTATGTTGACATGGGTAGAAGACAGATTTTAAAATGCTGAGCTTTTATCTCTCCACAGCTAGAAATTGTTTGAAGGCTGCTTGTTGCTACACATTGACTCGTGTCATGCTGCTGCTGTGCATGTCTCAGATTGCTGCTAGTGTATTGCTTTTCTGTAGCATTCCTCTTGACCAATTCTTTTGAGAAAACTCATACATCTTACCTGAAAGGCTCAGGATTGCTGTCCTGGGGTAAGGAGGCACAAAGCCCTGCAGCATGGTGTGAGGCACACCAGGCCTCTAGTGGGATGCAAAACGCTTTTCTTGTTGCCTGAGTGTTTCTTTTCTCTTTTTCTTTTCTCTTTTCTCTAAAGCTTTTTTTCAGTGTGCTGTAGAACCACTCTTGTGAGTGGGAGACATTCCAAGAGGACAAGGAGATGCTGTGCCTTACGCTATGCCTGCTCAGGCTTGTGGTATAGGCTCGAACCATCACAATTTTGTTGACAGGAAACCTAATTTTGCAGTTGGCTTTCTGGTTGTGGTTCAGAACGCAGGGCAGACCTGCCCTGGAGGAGTGGCTGCTGTGTCTGTGTGCTCACATCCTTGTCTCAGTAGCTTACTCTTCAGGTGAAATAGCTTTGATGACAAAACATCGGAGGGCTTTGGATGGTATTGCTGGGGAGCAAGCTGATATGCAATGCTGAATCATTAACGTTTGTAAACTGAAACGTTAGAAGCAGATCTCTGTGCTAGGAAGGAGAAATAGGCAGAAGATGTCATCAGCGGTGAGCTAGATAAGAGCCAACTCCAGGAACGGACACTGATGTGTCCTGGTGTGGCAGGGAGGATCAGAAATGTGTCCTCGCTCTATAAGAACAAGCCCAGTTGCAGTGTCTGCAGGAAGTGGCAGGTGTCCCATCCTGCAGCTGCCCTGCTGCCCCATTGCAAAAAGCTGATATAAACTGAGCTGGAATTCAGTCTTGAACGATAGGACTCACTGGGCAGGTGGGGAGGGGGCTGTTGGTGTGGGGTGAGGGGGCTTGGACAGGACGGTGATGCCCTGCAGCACCCATTGCATATGCTGGGACCTGCAGCCAGTGCTCACCTTGCTGGGCTGCAGGGGGTGAGGGGAAGGGGCTTTGGAGGGGTGTCAGAGCTGTTGTGTTCTGCTGGTACCATGCAGTGAGGCTGTATTTGCATGAATTTGTCTGTTCGTTTGAATGCATATTTATGCAGTATTAAAGAAAATGGTTTGGGATTTAATACCATAGGAAGTGACAAATACCGGCGTTCATTATAATTTAAAATTTACTTTATTTGCAAATATCCACTGTTGCAAAATCTTACAAGAAATGTGTTCTCTACGTCAAGGACAAACTCTAGCTGAATAATACTCCATCACTTCATAGACTTTGGCAGAATTAACTTAATGACTGGAGCTGCTAATGCAGTCAACTTGTAAGTCAACGTTCTTCTTAAAGAATAAAGCATAAACCCACATGAATGCCCTGCACAAAGCAGCTTTGTGTGCAGGGTGATGTAGGCCGTGCCTGCCACAGCTCTGTGTCGTGCAGATAAAGATGGGTGAGGTTCTGAGGGGGTTCAGCCCATCAGCACACTGCTGCTCCTCTAGAGCCCAGGAAAGTAGCAAGAGGGCCTGCAGCCAGGTGCTTTGTGGAATGTGGAATCACAGAACAGTGTGGTTGGGTTGGAAAGGACCTTAAAGCCCCCCAGCCCCACCTGCTGCCATGGAGCTCTGCCACTGGTGACTGTAGGCAGTGCCCAGGGGCTGTGCAGCTCATGCCAAAGCCTGAGATGTGCAGGCTGTTGGCAGCTGTTGTCACCTGCAGACAGCTGCCTCGTTTCTCATAATCAGCGTGGTTTGGCATTTAGTCCATAGGTACCAGCATGCTTCCTGTCTTTGGCCTGGAATCCACAGCGAGCTAATTATCCTAAATTCAGCATTTCGTCCAGACTGGTTTCTGATTCAGCCAAGATCTTAGGAATGGCAAGGATGAGTAGGAAGCATTATCCATGCTCAGTGTTTAAATGTGCTCTGGTATATAACGACTTCGCTTGATCCTTTGAGTTAATAATTCTTCACAAAGTGACTTTTATTATGAGTGCTTCAAGCGAGTTTGAATATGTCATTGTGGCAGGGGATGAGGATTTGAAACATGCTCTGCAGTCTGTGGGATTAATAAATTAGAGAATGCTCTAATTGCGGAAAATCTAAAGGACAATTTCAGATTATTAATGAAACTACTGAATACTCAAATTTCAAAGATTAATTCATCTTTGATTTTTTAAAAGATTAATCTGTACCAGAAGGTTAATTGCTATCTGTAAGACACATATATATATATTGAAGTCGTTAGTGAAAAACCACTTGACTGCCTCCTAACAGATAAATGAAAGATCCAGCGTGCATTTATCCATCTTTTCCTCTCTCTGAATCTTTCTCTCCCTGAATTCCTCTCCCCAGACTCCTTGGGGAGGTTGGTGGCCCTGCCTGTAGCAAGGGGATTGGATGATGATCCTTGAGGTCCCTTCCAACCTGGGCCATTCTGTGATTCTGTGCAATTGGCTGTTTTCAGATCAGTGCCCTGGCAGCTCTGCTGTGCAGCACTGTGTTAGCCATGCACCCAGACCCAGCTCCTCCCTTCTGCTTCCCTCAGCTCTGCACCCACACTGTGCCCGTTGCCCGTAGCTGGGCAGCTCCTGGGCTTGGTTGGGCTGTGCACAGAGCGGAGCTGTTGTATCCCTTAGAGAGGGCTGCCAGCAGCCATGTGTCACTCTGCAACCAAGAGTTCATCCAGGTGTTGTTCTCAGCCACTTGGAAGGGATGGAAGAGGCAGATTCTGGAGCAGCATGTCATTTTGCTTTGTGTTTCAAAAATGCAGAAAAAGAGATTAAAGCCCTTGTATCGGAGGGCTGATGTGATTATGATGTATACTGAAGCTTTTCCCAACAACTTTTAGTTGTGGTGTCGTATCTCTGAAAAAGCCATCACCACCTTGACAGAACAAAAAGGCGGAATAAACTTTAATCCGCTCTCACGTAGGAAGCGCAGCATTTGCAGCAGTCTCTTCATCTTCTTTTCCTTTTTATTCTTTATTTTTTGCTGAGGAGTTTTTTTTGAAATATTCATTTCTTTAATTCCTCTTTTTCCCCCGGTCCTCGATGCCACGCAGCAGCCCTTACATAAGGCTGGGACAGCTGTGCACAGCTGGCTCAGAAGGGGAAGAACCATCCACAGCCATCCGTTGCCTGGGCAGAGAGGGGACCCTGCTGGTCTGAACCTCCTCCTGGTAAGGAGGTTTTTTCCAGCAGTGACGTTGGCCGGTATTTCTTTCCTATTCTTGACTTTCTTTTTATCTTGTTTTTCCAGATTTATATTTCCTAGCAGAAAACATGCATATGCACACGTGTACGTGGCTCTATGAGATGCGTTGCCCTCACGCCTGACAGATTTAATGTGTCGTTCCATCAGATGAATCACTTTTTGGAATGCCGTTAAAATCTGTGCGTTAGATGCATGGAAGTTGACATACCATCCTCAGTGCCTCACACAGCATTTCTCTGGGCTCCTGTAGGTCTGTACAGCTGCCTATTATGGCCCCGAATCCATGTTTTTTTAGGAGGACTTGACTTCTGTGCTGTCTTTGGGAATGCTGTTTGCACAGATTATCACTGGAGAATGTAAGAGAGTTAAATTATTGCTAGGAGGGAGCTGTGCACGCTGACAGCATTCTGAGGGAAGGGAGGCTGTTCTGCCAGCATCTCCAATAGAGTACTGATTCCTATAGGCACGTAAAAACTCAGGATTTCTTTCATCATGCATTTTGATACTAATAAAACATCTTTTCTTACCCACTGAAGCACTGCTGCCTGCTTCTAGGATATGTGCTGTAAGGAGAAGTGCATTGCCACAAACACTGATGTGGAATGTGGGCTTTGGGCAAGCTGCTCTACTGGGGGTGTCCCACACACTGCAAGGATTGGAACCAGGTGGTCCTTCAGACCCCTTCCAGGCTCAACCACTCTGTGGTTCAATGCAATATGAAAACTGTTGCTTTCCTTCCTGTGTTTCACGAAGTAACAATTGTTCTGTCATGTTCAACAGTTGGGAAATCTCTAAAGTTGTACCAACTCATGCTGTGTGCTGCAGCCTGTTGTGGGTTCTGTACTACAGGCGTTGCTTATGTTCCATTCTGGTGCTGGGACAACAGCGGTGCCTTTACCAGCGTCTTCCTGATGCTGTTTTTAGAGATGCAAAAGCAATCATAGCAGTATTTCTAGAATATTCAGCACTCCCAAATGAAATCTTGTCAGGTTCATGCAAGACACAAAAATTTCCATTTGGTTTAGAAGTTGGTGAACGTGCCTTGGCTGCCAGTGTAACCATGAATGGAGCCTTGCCCCATACCTTCAGACCAACAGAAATGCAGGAAATAATTCACAGAAAGATTCTTTTGAAACTGTAACCGATCCAGTAGAAGATGCTCTGGAGCTTTGGATTGCAGTTGATTAAATATTGTCTTGACAGTGGGAAGGAATGAGCATCATCCAGAGCACGGCGCCGAGCTGCTGCCATGGCTGTGCTCTGCTGGAGAGGCAGCCTCAGTGAGCAGCAGGCAGCCGCGTCCTTCAGGCGCTGCTTCTGGCTTCCCACTGGTGTTGGTTAGAGCCCAGCAGATGCCTGGCTTCATGGGGAGAATCCCTCTGGATGTGGCAGAGCTGGG